GTTCTGCTTGGATGATCTGCAAATTCGGGTTCGATCCCCAGCAGATTCAAGAAATTTTCACGCGCTCGTAGCTCCTCTTCGATGGTCTGTTAAACCATCAAGAGTATTTATTGCTAAGAAAACTTTAAACTGCTATTCGGAATCAGTGTTAAATTATAGATTCCATACATGAAGAATAGAAACCAGGAGACTGAATTATACTTTCAGAAAATGTGATCAATCAGGTTTCTGAATTAGTATTGGTGGAGCTCGGTAGGCAGTGTTTGAATCGCAAAACTCCTTTCATATACGTTTACGCACACACAATCACATACAATAATCAAAGAATAAAGGAGTTATTCTTTGATATCACGTTTTAATAGTAACAGGAAGACGTAAATTGTCATTTAAACTAGAGCGAGCATTCTTCATGTAAAACTGATACGACCTACCATGCAAACTGCGAGAACTGTATCGTGGAACGAAAATGATATCTCGATCGAACTAATTCAGATGACCACTTTGAGCACATAATCTGACGGCATCGTCCATATAAGTTTGGTCTCCTGGCTTCTTCATAATCCCATATATCTGTGTATAACCTGCGTGCGCACCACAGACATATGTACGAGAGGAAGGCCCTGTCCCGACTTTGAAATGTTGCGTCATTGAGATGAATGAAAATTAATTTATTTGTAGACTCTGAGGCCCTTTCTCGTAATTAAACGAACAATTGATTGGATTTATAACATCATTACATGGTTTCACAATTGGATTTACGACATTATTACATTGGTTTACAATTGACTTAATAAAATATGATAGTTCTCGATGCGTTTATTTGTAAGTGAAAATGAGATGATTCTCATGATATGACATATACAAGCGTTAACTTTTATTAACTTTTATTATATGTTAATAAAATTATCTTATTTCATTGTATGGTTATAATTTATATTCATGGCTAATATTCATGACTAAGTAAAGTCGAAACGTTCCGTGAAACTTATATATGTATTTAAATAAAATAAATATTACCATATATTATACACCTAATATAGCTCATTTTAATTTTGTAACCTGTTTCTGTATTTAATTGTTTATTGTAAGTTATACGAGCGTAAAAAGTGATATTAATTATTAATTTTACTTTGTGATATCTTAATTTGAATGTAGGACGTTCAAGCATGATGAACAATGCTACAAAAAGTTTTGATTTTCTGAGTGTTCTATGTATAATTATTTTAATAGCAATAAAATTTCTTTTAGATCAGTATCTTGCTAAATTTTTAGACATTTCAGCAAAATCGCTCTTTCCGTGTATGTTTCACGAAAAACCTTGGTGAAAATAAAAATTGATGGCGTAAATTAGTATACGGAGAGGAGGAGGGAGGGGAAGAACAAAACCATAATTCTTAGAAAGGATAAATTAGAACAGTGAAATATAAAAGAAACATCTTAACACTTTGATTATCTAGCTGATTTTGGATTATCAAATTGAATTTAATAAACAGGGCACAATTATACTAATGTTTTATTTTGTTTTAATGCCTTAATATAAGGATTATGTCCAGTTTTATAGAAAAATTTGGGCCCTGAATGAACAACTTGAAGACATGTCTAAAATTTTAAGACATCGAAAGAGAATAAAAATTCCATAAGCTTATAGGAGAGGTTTTCTGAGTGTTAGAACTATACAAAATTCGTTATTATGAGCATGTATCACTAGTCTTATCCGATTTCTCTGCATCCAGGACATCTCCTCGTGGTGACGGCGATAATGGATTGTATTAAAAACATTAGAGTAATATTTGAAATGTATTTGGTATATTCTAGAATATTACTGCTCTTGCAAAAATAGCTGTCGTACAGTTGAGTATTGTGTGCAACGTGGTGACAGTCATATGTTCGGGGCTCAAACTGGACATAATCCCTTTTTTTTACATTACTTCTTTAATATCTTAAATATTTAGTAAAATTGTTTTTAATGGAGTAAATAACACCTCACCTACAAAAGAATAATAGGAATTTTACAAATTTTATGCGTCACATAAATAGAATGGGCATGAAAGATACATGTTTTGAAAGAGCTATTTTGTATTTCAATTAATTGAATATCGCCAAAAATTTAAAAATATTTTCATATGATAACAGTACTAAAACTACGTCGTCCATAAACATTTGACAGTCATCGTCAAAACGGCGTTGCTGTACTGAAAGATACAAAATTGTCGTTACAAAAAATTTTTCTTGAGTGAAATTTCCAAGTCTTTTTTAGTTATTTGCGATTAGTTTTTAAAGAAAGTATTTTTTTTATCGTATACTATATAATATATACATTAATGTAATTAATGTAATTAAGAATGTAATTACAAATTCTTTGTTTATTTTAGTTTATCTCATATTCTGTGATTAGATTTTTTACACATAATGTTATGAAAGAGCCGGTATTGAGAGCTATGAAAAAGCCAGTTCTATTATTGCTTTGTCAAGCTCCTTAATTGCATATCCAGAAATGTTATTTTCAGTACAAATTGACTTTCTATTTTTTTAGTTTCAATTCAGGCAATTTTAATACGTTAGTACTTTTTTGAAATATATCGTACTGATGATCAATCCATTTTCATTCGGTTGATGTCGATATATCATCGCATAGCGTCAATATATAATATGATTCTATCAGCACATTTCTGCACAAAATTATCTTTAAATGCAGCCTCCTTCAAGGAACATCCATGCGCATATTTGTAGGTAAATAGATTTTCATATATTTCTGTTTTATAAAACAGCAGTCTGCTTATGTTGCTGCTATATTAAGTTATACTGAAGTATTTTATCGACTCAATTTCCATATTTCACTCTTTTTAATTGTCTATCATGTTTAATAGATTATTCTGTATGTAATGAAGACTGGTATCAGTGCAAATTGTATTTTGACTGAGCTCATACTTCATGTGGCAATAAGAAAAATTTTCATTTCTTTTACAATAAATATTTTTATTCAAAATATTATTTGTTTTGTAAAATTTCCATTATTTGCACATTTATTAATTTTCTTAAAATATATTATTTGTTAAAAGATGATGTTTTCATTTTATTTGTATTAAAGCTTATACAATTTAGTACTTGGCTCTTTCCAAACCACATTATTTTAAAAAAGTTAAATTTTTTGTTTATGAAAAATAGTGATTAAATCTCTGTCAATGACTAAATATTATTTTTCTGTTAAATTGAATCTTATATGTAGATAAATGAGTATATTTAAGTAAGAAAGCGATTATTTTGTTTAACACCAAATTAAATATTCTTTTCATATTTTGAAAAAAAAACATCTCTTTCATGCCCTCTTTCCCTTATAGATGACATAGCAGACAAAATGTTAAGAAGTAAATGTCATTTTTATGTTTACTGTTCCAATTTACGCTTCCTAGAAGTTTTGTTTTACACTTTTGTCACTCACTCCTTTACATTCAACTTATACTTTGATCTTTAATTTTTGTTAAAAAAGAGCAAGTTCGATATCAGCATGGATTTATTCATCCGAATATACCGAATGCTGAACGAACACAAACAATCTGACCAATTCGACGATGAAACAAAGCTTTCTCCGCGCGCAGACACAGACTTTTGTTTAGTTATAAATATATATCGAGTGTAAAAAGACAATATACATATACTTTGTATTTATGCAAATGACGCGTTTTCCTATGCCGCGCATTCTTCGTGACGTATTCGAAGATTGTTAGATAACAGTTTGACCATTCGTTTTCGATTCGCTAATAGCGTATTCAATTTACTCGACTTGACTCGACTCTTAATCAATAATCTGTTCTGTTTAGCTGTAAAAGAAGAGCTAAACTACTGCAAGAAATGCAGCTAAAAAGAACAGATAGTTGATTTGAAGTCAAGTCGAGTCAGTAAATCGAATATGCTAGATCTTTCTGGAAGAAGTAACATCAAGGTTGTTAATTGGTGCGCGAAGGGTGCTGGAAAAACGTTATTATTAAGTTATTAAAGTAATGACATCGATGTATTTCTTTTTCTATATAATCACGATCCTCTACATCATTTCCTACATCAGTCGTCTCGTTCTCATGACTAGCCTCCCTCGAATTTTATATAAATGTGTTATCTCTATGAGATTATCCGTCAGAATATCGAAGATAAAGCGACGCGAGTACTAAGACCATTCGCATAGATACATTCTTTCTCCCATACATTGATTTTCCGTATGTACTCGTATTCCGAGTAAAATAAAAAAGGAGCACGGCAGTGTCTCGTGCCATGATGCTGCTCTTATCTTAGCGCCGAGACGCTATTATGTCTCCAAATATAATTTGTATAAAGTAGTGCGTCATCAGCGATACGACTTGGAAGGAGGTAATTCTACATAAAATAGACAGATAAATAATAGAAAATAGAATCGTATATGAAACTTCCATATTCTGGAGAAAATAAATAACTAAAAGATTAGAAAATCAATCAGCGTTTTCGAGTCAATTTATTAAAGAGTATAAAGTCTCAGAAAATTTTTCTTAGTATTTTTTATACAATTTTTTATAATTTCTATACAAATTTCAGAACTTCTGTATAATTTTTTATAACTTTTTAGAACATTTCTCTGAATTGAAACACTTTTCAGAAGTGCTTAAAAAATTTATATCTTTCCTGGAATTCTTTATATATGTGAATTCAGATTATTCTAAGACCTTGAAAATATTTTATTCTATAACTTAATTGTGAAAATTTATAAAATCTAAAGAAATATTTTTTCAGAAATGTTCATAAATTAAAAATATAAAGTTCTTTAAAAATATTGTGAGCTTTTATGAACAGTTTTTTCACCAGGACTATTTATAAGTTAACTTCCAATTAAACAACTACGTAAGCATAAATATACAAATATATTCTACTTAACAAAATGAAATTCTTCTCTCTATTTTTTATTATTTTTAAACAGACTGTTAAATTATTTTATACTGTGATAGCATTAAATAATTTATATTGAATATTGTCCAGATTTAGAAATAATAATAAAAAACATCAGTATTGTCGAAATTATCAAGAATCTCTCAAAATTTTGTTCTCTCAAAAGCTTTTCTTTTATTTTTGACTATAAAAACTGTTATTCCTTCCCAGTTACATGACCAATAACAGACTACTCTGTACTAATCGGTAGATTAAATGTCTTCTCTACAAAATCTCTCTACTAGAAGTCTTGTGACAAAAGAATGTCATTAGATATATCGAATCCTCGGTACATCAGGTAGAAAAGTGCACTTGCCTCGGCATATACAATTGCAACGTAAATTAGTTTATATTGTTGTATATTATATGTATATAGATACTGATGTACGTAACTAAGATTTCGCCGATATTTCGTCAAAATCTGATTAGCAGTTTCCTTTATTACAAAAAAATGTCAAAAGACAAAATCTCATTTCAGTAATATAAATCTTTTGTTCTATACCTCTGATAAATAAAACCTCTAATAAATTATTTCTCCTTACAAGAAGAAACATATTCCACGAGTTTCTCTTTTTTTAGAAAACCACTCTGTACTCTCATATCTATATACACATTAGCATATATACAGGATATACACAGAATATCCCAGACGTCAGCGTTTCCTTTTCAGCCAAACAAGATTGTTCGTCCGTGCTATTAATAATTTACTGCTCACTTCAGTACTACCTCTTATCTCAACGTCAGGCCGATTATTTTCCTTCGGTTGACTTTCGGTGTAGTTCCATCTTACATCATTGATCGCGAAGGATGCGTCACGTTCTAGGAAATTTCGCATATATTTCAAGATATTACGAAAGAATGGCATTGTTCTCCCTTCCAAAGAAATTCATCCAGTTTCGGCTTTTTTTCTCTCTCATTTCCCTTTGCTTTTCGCTTGATATTGACTCTCTTCACTGGATTCAAACAATATCCCGTAACTCGATCATTTTTCTCCTCTCCATTCCATTCTGCCTTTTCTTCTTCGCCCGTTCGTTTGTATTTTAGGCCTCTTCGGAATGTGAACCCTGAGAACTGCGTTTCTTCTTGTGGTTGTTATGATGATGATAGCTGTGGTGCTGATGGTGGTGATGATGTTCTCGATGTTGCATCAAAGCGTCTGTCTCCGGCTGGTTTTGATGACCTACTAAGAGATCCAAGGTGCCTTTAGGTACAACGGGCGCCTGTTCGCCTGTTGGCGGAATCGGTGTCGCGATCGGTGACTCGACCGGAAGTGGCACGCAGTGTAATACGTAACATCTCACACCCGCTAAGATAAAGCCTAAAACAATAAAAATAATAATTAGAGGCGTATTTTTACATTGGAGTCTCATCAATGATGATTCAAGTGGTGACGAGCATGTGCGTGTCACCAACGCGCCGATCGATTGAACGCGCTTATAATCCTTTATTTGACGCTCTGCAATCGGCTATTCTGCCTATTCTACAATAGGGTCGCAAGCCGTAAGAAAGAAATTAATCAATTGACAGTTACAGTTGAATAAGAAAAAAAATAATACATCATGAATACTTAATTTCTTACGGCTTATGGATGATCTTCTTATAGAACCTAGATCGATAAATTGATGCAAGCTGGAAATATTTTCATAACTCTACAAAATCATTGAGGAGAACACAGTATTCAATTTCTTCACCACGATATGGAACGCGTTTATACGTAGACTGCTAGAAAAGTTTCTGCAATCTAGTACTTCCAGTGACATCAACGTTCTGCTACTATCATATCCATAAAATTAGATGTTTTTAACCTATAATTCAATTGACAGTTTGTACCCAAGCCAACTAGTTTTGTTTGCAGTATTTTAAAAGAAGTAATTTTGTAAGAAAATGGAAATTTCGCATAAAAATTTTCGGGCAATGATTTTTTACGATTACAAATGTAATCTAACTCCGAAACAATGCATCGATCGACTTCATTTGGCTTTTGGGGATGATTGGCACCATCCAATAAAACTGTTTATAATTGGTTTGCCGAATTCCAGCGTGGATGTACCTTTCTTAGTGATAAATTCCGTGAAGGTCGTCCATCCACGTCTGTTGTTGCTACTAATGTTGATGCTGTGCGTGAAATGATTGAGCAAGACCGGCATATAACATAGCGAGATTCAGGCATCCTTTCATTGACATGAAAGCAATACATACGATTTTGCATGATCATTTGAGCGTACGGAAACTTTGCGAAACCAACAAAAGTTGTTCGATCACGCAGTGCTGCCAAGCAAATGATTGCTTGTTTCTTCGGTTATACCGGACATGTGACAACCGTGGCTTTAGAGGATCGAAGGATTGTAAATACTGATTGGTATACATTTTATTTGCCAGAAGTCATAAATGAATTGCGTAGAACAAATCAAAATCGTCGCACCATCCTTCATCATCACAACGCCAGCACGTCAAACCGTTGATTTTTTATCCAGTAATAATGTCGAATTGATGACTCATTGTCCGTATTTACCTGATTTATCACCTAATGACTTCTTTTTGTTCCCAAACTTAAAAATAAGATGCGTGATGACCGATTTGAGTCGCCTGAAGCAGCTGTTGAAACATTTCGTACACTGATATCTGAGATTACAGCTTAGAGTGGAAAAAATGCTTCGAAAATTGGTTCGAGCGTATGCAAAAATGTATCGATCTTAAAGGCGAATACTTCGAAAAACATTAAAGCCATTTACCGAATTGTATATGTTTTTTTTCATATTGTTTGCAGAAACTTTTCCAACAGCCTACGTATTGTAATTAAAGATTTTTCGCGTGTTCTGCAAGAGCGTGTCTTATGATGTATAATATCAAGATAAAAGCTAACGTGACGCAAAAGAAGAGTTTTCCATATCTAAGAAAAGACTTACCAAGTATAAGTAGGGCAGCGCCTGCCACCAGTAACGCCAACCTGTGGTTGGTGGTCGTTGCACCCGGAACGAGTTGGACGAGACCGACCACGAGCACTACCGCACCCAACAATAGGCACACCACCACAGCGTGCAGTCCGGATATCTGTAGGCAACGATCTTCATCAGACAATGATATGCTTATTTTTGCCTTCCGGCGCTTATACATATTATATATATACACTATTATATTGTTTATAAGTTTTTAAACATTCTTAAATATAAAATAAAAACACATTCTTTGAGTTTTTGTTTAATACAACTATAATAATTTGCCTCGATAGTTTAAAGGCTTAGGACGGCTTGTACGGAATACAAAAGATTCGGATTCAACTCCCAGCCGAGGTAATATTTTTCGCAATAAATTTAATTATAGTTTTTCAGCACATTAACATCTTTCTAATATAACTGATTGAGCATCAAATTATTAAAAATTGCTTATCAATTTAATTTAATTTGTGATAAGTCCGGAAAACCAATTCGGCGCGCAGTTCGAATGACTATAAATATGGTATATATACATGTATATATGTAATAACTTATATATATATATATATATATATATATATA